ATTTTTAAAAATGCCTCTTAATGGGTTTTTATTTGCTGGCAGAGTTGGGATTTCAGGCTCCTCTGGGAGGAGCAGAATCTGCCTGGCCTTAAAAATGAAAGGAAAAGTGGGAAAAAAAAAGAAAGTCGGGGGGAAAAATGGGCAGAGGAGAAGGATGAGAAGGATGAATTGAAATGCAATGAGGAGAAAAGCAGGAATATCTGCTCCACCCAGCCCACAGGAACCTGCAGGGAGGGGAGCAGAGCTGCTGGAAACACAAGGATGAGGTAAAAAATTTTGGAGCACAGTTCTTTAGCCTTGAAGCACGTCCAGGTGAAGCACAAAGAGAATCGAGTGGAGCTGCTGGAGAGAGCCCAGAGGAAACCACGGAGCTGCTGCAGGGCTGGAGAACCCCTGGAGCCAGGCTGGGACACCTGGGGGTGCTCACCTGGACAGGAGAAGGATCCAGGGAGAGCTCAGAGCTCCTTCCAGGGACTAAAGGGGCTCCAGGAGAGCTGGAGAGGGACTGGGGACAAGGGATGGAGGGACAGGACACAGGGAATGGCTCCCACTGCCAGAGGAGGGGGGGTTAGATGGGATTTTGGGAAGGAATTTTTCCCTGGCAGGGTGGGCAGGCCCTGGCCCAGAAAAGCTGGAGGTGCCTCTGGATCCCTGGAAGTGCTCAAGGCCAGGTTGGACATTGGGGCTTGGAACAGCCTGGGATGGTGGAAATGTCCCTGCCATGGAAGGGGGGGATGAGATGGGATTTGAGTTTGGGTTTTTCCAACTCAACTCATTCCATGACAGTGGAAGTGGAGACCTGGAGAGCCCTGACCTCCCCTCTTTGCTCTTCGAGGAGTTTGGTTGGGATCACAGAGAGGATTTCCTAAAAAAATGAAAGAGAGTAAGAGAGAAAGAGAGAGAGAAGAAGGAAAGAAAGGAGGAAAGAAGGAAAGAGGGGGAAAAAAGGAAGGAAGGAAGGAAGGAAGGAAGGAAGGAAGGAAGGAAGGAAGGAAGGAAGGAAGGAAGGA